ATATAATGAAAACTCAATATATTTTTATGAGAGATACTTGCTTTGAACCTCTATTTAAACCCATGGCATTTCTCTACCAAAACAGGTTTTATGTCCACCCTACATTTAAAGAGTTTTGGGGTTCAGGATTGAAGATGCAAAAATGTCAAATAAAGACCTTACCTAGCAAATATCATTGCATAACAGATTACTGCCAGTATTCTCATACTTTTTGCCATAGACAGTTTTCCTGTAACAGAGTTGAACTATGCAGAGTAATAATATAACTACAGTATAAACATAATGAAACATTGAAAAAGACTGTAAAAGATAGCCTACGAATGAACCCATCACATTTCTCTTCCAAAACATTTTACATTTAAAATGTATAGGGTTGAATGTTATTGGGTTGAAGATTAGTGCACAAAACCTGATTATTTACAATCAGTATTGTTGTCCTTTTTGTCAAGACTTTGAACAATTGAGCTTGACAATATAACTGTAAACACAATAAAAAATTGACAGAGACTTTGAGAGATACTCACCTGTGTTTCAACCCATGATATTTCTTTTCCAAAACAGGTTTAGTGCCAACCCCGTTACATTTAAAATATCTATGGTTGAAAATCAATGCAAAAATGTCTTCTCCTCAACTGGCACAGCACAACACCAGATTATTTACAGTCAGTATTCTTCTGCTTTCTGCCAAGAAATTTTTTTTTTCTGTTAGAGTGATCACTATTATTTTCCCACAACAGACTTGAACAACCGAGCATGACAGTATAGCTGTAAACAATAAAAGCTAATAGAGACTGTAAGAGATACTTACTTGTGTTTGAACCCATGATATCCTTTTCCAAAATATGTTTAGAGTCAACCCTGTTACATTTAAAATGTTTTGGGGTTGTTACAGGGTTAAAGATCAGTGAAAAATGTTTATTTATCAGTCACCATTATTCAACAGATTATTTACACTCATCATTGCTCACAATGATAGTTTTCCCCATAACGGAGTTGAAATATGTACCTGTAAACATAATGAAATACACATAGAGACATCAACTCTGTTACATTCAAAAATGGATTACTGTCTCGTGGTGAAGTCTCTCCACTGATTGGCTTTTTCTTTGTCTTTCAGCGCTCCAGTAATGTAAGCGCCATGTTGGTGATGACCAAACCTTTGACTGGACCTAGAGAACATGTTGTGGACCTGGAGATGGTCACCCAGAGTAATGTCTTGAGCTACCGTTCCAGCTCACTGCTGAGACTCACCATTATTGTGGGTCCATACCCTTTCTAAATCATCTAGATTGACCGAATCAGCACCTTGGTTTTATGTTTGTACTGCAGCTTACTATGTTAAAAATGTTCAACACAGCATGGCTACCTGGTTGTGGTCTAGTTCAGTGGTTCCTAACTGGTTGATTGAGACCCAAAAATGTGTCAGAAATTAATTCTAAATCAACCAATAGATATAAATGTTTGATTTTAAGGTTTTATATGTGTTCACATTTGTATGATGAATCTTTTGTATAATAAATTTTAATACTGTGTTGGTTCGCCAATTAATCTCCATTGTAAAATGTAGGTCTTGATACAAAACCGGCTGAGAACCACTGGTCTAGATAGTTGCATATTCACTGGGTTTCAAACAGGAATTGGTTTATTAATCATAAAAAGTAGGTTGTCTGGTTTACTGAAGTTTTCAAGTAACTTGTACTTTGGAAAATTAAAGACAAGGTCAGAGAGGGTGACATTAAGACCAAGAAATATCTGAAAAACAACACAGCTGGATACCAGAAGGAAACACAGTTGCTCAAGTTTCATTCTGAAAAGCACTTATAGGTTATTCTTTGTCTTGGTAGAAAGAGGTTTGCCAGATTCTGCTGCATGTCAGTCTTTTAAATGGGTAGTTCATCTAAAAATTGGGTCGATCATTATTTACTTATCTTATGTTGTTGTAAAGTCATATGACTTTCTTTCTGTAAAACACATAAGATGAAGTTTAACAATGTCCTGTTGCTTGTTTCCATACAATAAACATCAGTGGAGGAGAAAAAAAAACCCTGTGGAGCTCCAAAAATGACAAAACACCATAAAAATAGTCCTTACGAAGCTATTTTGTGAATCTTCCCCACAGACCAAAAAGTTATTCACTGAAAATATTCCCTTCCATCACAATGCTCAAATCCTTCACACATCTTCAAATTGGTGTCGCAGTGGGTTATGACTAATTTAACGACCACCAACCATAAATTTTGGTCTGTTAGGGACCAATTATGAAGAATGCACTTTTGCATTGAAAATGCGGGAAAGGTCTCGTGACTTGTTTTTAAAAAGTTGAATGACTTTTTTTCAACAGTACACAAGACGTTGTAAAATACAGAAGCGCAATGGTCAAAGACATCCGTTTAGCGCATGTTTAGCCTACTTAAAAAAAGCTATGGAAAAGCAGCACACTAGAATGCAAAAACGCATTCTGTATGAACATGGTGTGGCATCAAAACATTTCGAAAATAGCGCACAAGTCATATGGATTTCTTTTATCATGCTTTTTTTTTTGGCTATTTTTGTCCTCATTACCTCACTGTATGGAAAAGTGCAGCGTGAACATTCTGCTAAACTTCTCCTTTTGTGTTCCTCAGAAGAAAGCAATCCAAGTGAGTTTTGAATGACATGAGGATGAGTAAATGATGACAGAGTTTTCATTTTTTGAACAAACGAACCTTTTGATCTGTCAATAAATCAAAGCTTACATTTCTCATACATGGATTGTGTAGAAACAGAATGTAATTATCAAAAAGTGCTTATAGATTCTTTACTAGATTTTACTTCTTAGCAGGGGAAACGTGTTTTATAGGTGGAACATGTGGATAAAGCAAACAGAACTGCATAGTTAGGTGGAACAGTTTGTGTTGTAATCAAATGGCATCCTTAGCTAATGGAAATCTCTAAATGCGTCCTCCGCCTTGCAAATTCTGCTGAAATAACCTCCTATCCTATGAGAATAAGGCAATAATGTTTTGGAAACAGAAGTGATGTTTTCAGGAAATTGCTGGCAAGGGCTTTGGGACGCATAAGCAATGGAACTCTTGCCTAACATGTCTGTATGGTTGCCAGAGCAGCGTTTGATCTTCTGCAGTGTTTCGTGTCGATGGTCTGTGACAAACACTGTTACTTAAACCGCTGCGTCACACCCGGTGCCCCCAGAGACGTGTTCGTGGGTGAGGCCGGAATGGTCCGCGCACCACCACGCTGTATGAAATTATTTTGGCAAGCGATCTCTACGTTGGCTGCTTTGAAATCTGACTTAGTATTTTAATGCAATGCTTGCAAATCAATCTGTATGTTGTCATTATCTGTTTTCTTATGCTCAAACACTTTGATTCACTGAATTTGTAAATGCTTCCTGTTTTTCTCTTATTGAGATCATTTTTGCTTATGTCCAAACTGATGTGGACCGGTTGTTTCTGCTCAGAGAGGACAACAGGTCTTTGTATTTGTTTAACAAACTAAAATTAATTGCATTTGCACCTTTCGTTCAGAAATTTTCAGTCTGCTCTTAAGTTGCACTTTTTCTTTACTCATTCATAGCCTTTGTGCCATTTATTCTGCTGTAAAGTTTTTGGAAATAAAAATGAATACAGTAACAATTGTGTCATTTTAATTTGCTCAAAACAAATGTAGCACCAGAAAGGAATCATGTTCGAAAATCGAATCTTTTGCTTGTATTGCATAACATGCATGGGTCAATTTGGTATATTCCTGGAACAGTTTATGTGGACTACCAAGATTCATCTGCAGTTATTACCTCCCGCGGTTGCAGATGGGAATATGTAACTATGTGATGTTGTCATGACAATAGTTGAGCAGTTCCTGTAAGAATATTTACACACCAATAGCCTAATCATTTACAGAAAGCATGCGAGTCATACATGAACCGCATGTTTTTGCTTAGATTTCGATGTAAGGCTACTCATGCTACTGTTTTCTTTTTATATAAAAGAAAAAATGGACTATAAACTAAACGTGGGTGTGAAAAAATGTGGAGAATTATAAGAAAAATAAAATTTTAGAATGTAAAGACATTTTCTTTCTGACAAATGTATTGTGAGTGCATTATGTGAATATATGAGATAGTCATCTTTCTGATGGTTTTATCCGAGTAAAACATGAGGTTGGGTGGGTTACAACCCAAGACCTTTAGGAAGATGCCTTGATATTCGACCACCCAAATACACACTACTCATATTAGCCTAAAATGTTTGTTTTCTCTGGGCCCAGTGCAAAACCTTCAACACATTGATTGTAAGGGTAATATTACAAAAGATGTTCTTCATTTAAAGTGTTTGTTGGCTGTTTATAGAAGCAATAGCACTGATGTTATTCTCAGAGCACAAAGGCTGAAAATTGAAAACTGATTAAATGCGTGGATGTATTTTTTTTATTTCTAAGTATACGAGACGGCCAAAAGATTGAGTTTAGTGTAACTTTAAACCAATAATTAATGTAAGAGCCTCATCTGCTGGTTACACGGCAGTATCGCATCATTTCCACAGCTCTCACAGAGCCGCATTTCACCTCAGTTTGTACTCAAATTAAACTCAGCAGTCAGTCTAACGACACGCTTTTGGTTTTAGGAGTTTGCTAAGTGCATGTGGTTTACCTTTTCGCACGTTTCTCGCCAGAAACGGAGTATTTGTGTCGTTAATATTACCGTGAGGGTAAGGTCCAGGCACGCTCGCTACTAGTAGTTCGCTGTGTACGACGTAAGCCATTTCTGTCGGCCAAATTAGATTCGAGCCAATCACAGAGTCGGAGAGGTTTGCGTAACCAATCGCAGCGCAGCGCTGGGACTCGCCATACATGGACAGCCATCGCCATATAAGGAAACATCGCCTCGCTTTATTTGGAGGAAAGTAGATCTTTAAGCGAACGGCCTCGTGAGTTAAATTCCCAAAACAAGCGAGTTATCAGCAATTATATAGTTTTTAAAAAAACACTAGACGTTATACACGACGTAAATACCGCCGTTCACGTGTTCAAAGTGAATTATTTTACGCGATATTGTTGTTACTGCAGGTACTAGGTCTGTTGGCGGAGGCACATTGCGCGGTTGCGATTCGTTGTTTCCAAACGTGGCAAGCGCCGCGCAAGTTCAGTTGAGGTTTGATTGACGGACTGTAGGCGGAAACTCTACGCTGTAAACTTTGTACGATGGTCGTGAAGTGCTAGTTTTGGGGGGTTATTTTTGTGTATCACGAGCCGCTTAAATCGTGACTTTCACACGGGAATACATCCGTCCTTAAACTCCAGATCCCGCGCGTTTAGTCCGAGTTGTCTGTTGAGTTGAGCTAATGTTTCTTAGCCTAGCATATGTGAGGTAACATAAGTTCGGTATCAAGTGAAGCGATCCGCTGGGTTTGATCTGGGATCTGCTCGGATCTCTACACCTACCGCAGGCTGCCGTAGTGCTGGGAGCAGGTCCGCGATGTTAGGGGGAAACGGGACGGCCAGAGGGGCTGGACGCTCCGGTAACGGCGCGGGGTTGACCCCTCTACAGGTGGGCAGCACATCTGGGGCTTTGGGGGCAGTAAACTCTGCCATAAACCTGCCCGATGGAGTTAGATACGACGACGGGCCGTCGGTGGAGGCTGTGCTGAGCGGCTCCGACGGAGACTCGGACTCCGGGGACGATGAGGAGAGTCCCGCGGTGGACAGGAGAGGGGTGAAGCGGGAGAGGAGTGAGACGGAGGTCGGTGGATCCTCGGGAACCGTCGCGGGACTGTCAGCTGGATATGGGGGGGTTTCCTCCGGGGTGGCTGGGGCGAAACCCGGCAAGAAAACACGAGGACGGGTGAAAATTAAGATGGAGTTTATTGACAACAAGCTGAGGAGATACACGACCTTCAGCAAGAGAAAGACTGGCATTATGAAGAAGGTATGTGTGTGCTTGTGCCTCCTACTGTTAGTTAAGAATTAACAGTAACGTTACTGTTATACAAGCAACATCCATCACTGTACAACTGCACTAATACTGTACTACACCAAATACTTGTGCTAAACCACCATGCTAATACTAGCACTGCAACTACTACTACTGATGTAGGTGTTATACACTACTAGCATTACACTACAGCACTGATTCTGATACTGTAGAGATACTAGTATCACTGTTTAAATCATAATAATGATTCTAATACTGTAGTACCGCTGTTGCTAGTATTATAGCACTGCTAGTGCTACAGCAATATACTGATACAAGTATTAAACACTACTAGTAATAATTGATTATACTGATTTTGTGGAAACACTAGTATTACTATTTTAACACTGGTACCACTAGTTTTGTATCTATTCTGATTCTAATACTTTAGAAATACTAGTACCCCTGGTTTTAAACATTATACTGATTCTAATACTGTAGTAATAGTAGTACCACTATTTCTATTGATTCTAATGTTGTAGAAATATTAGTATCTCTAGTGTTATTATTGTACTGATAGTATAATGATAATATTGTACCACTACTCCTGCTAAACAATGCATATTGCATACTAGTACTGTAACCTCTAGTAGTGTTTTTTATTTACAATTTATTGATTAGTAGTATCAGTTTGTACTACTTTACTGATACTAACATTAATATACCACTCACACTAGTCCTGTATCAATTTTAGTGCCTTTTCAGCTTGAACCACACCATTGTCCTGTATCAATTAAATTAAATTTACTAATGCTAGTACTTTACCAATTCTAGTGCCGCTACACTAGTATTGTACTTTTACTAGCTTGAAATCAATTATACTAGCTCGAAATCTATTTTACTGATTGTAATTTACCAATTGTAGTACCATTATACTGATGCTCATTAGTGGTCGACCGATATTGTTTTTTTTTTTGACAGCCGATGCCAATTTATTGATTAGTAGTATCAGTTTGTACTACTTTACTGATACTAACATTAATATACCACTCACACTAGTCCTGTATCAATTTTAGTGCCTTTTCAGCTTGAACCACACCATTGTCCTGTATCAATTAAATTAAATTTACTAATGCTAGTACTTTACCAATTCTAGTGCCGCTACACTAGTATTGTACTTTTACTAGCTTGAAATCAATTATACTAGCTTGAAATCTATTTTACTGATTGTAATTTACCAATTGTAGTACCATTATACTGATGCTCATTAGTGGTCGACCGATATTGTTTTTTTTTTGACAGCCGATGCCGATATCTTACAGAGCAGGGTGGCCAGTGGCCGATATAAAGCCTAGACAGACAGATAAATAGTGGGTGCAAACTTGTTTCCATTCTTCTAGTTTGTGTTTTTATGATTGGTTTTTCACCATGTGAGTTGAGCGATTGCCTGCTGTAGCAGCTGTTTTCTACAGCGTTCGTTTTCATCTGAACAGTATTATTATGGACATTCAGCAGTTGTTTTTCGCTGTGTTGAGGAATTATGGTTTCCTTGATCTTTTGCATCAACTTCATTGTGCTAGATTGTTTTTAAATTGTGATCTTGTCACATTATATTGGTTCCCGAGAAGCTATTATTTAAAAATGGGGCACTTCTTTGACCCAACAGCAAACCGCTGTTTCTCATTTCACGTGCAAAAAAGGAAAGCAAACATGGACTGCTTATTGGGTTTTGGTGCAGAAAACCTGAACCTCAGATAAAAATGTCGTAAAGTTATGATTTTCAAAGTATGTGAATTAGTGGTCGACCGATATGGGGTTTTTTGACAGCCGATACCGATGCCGATATCTTGGAAAGCATGGTGACCGATATAAAGCCGATATAATTTTATTTATTTTAATTAATATTTAAGAAATTTGAAAATGGGTTAAAAAATACATGTTAAACATACTTTAGATGACAAAGTATTTTTCACAAATAAATTAAAATAATAATTAATAAAAAATATAATTAAAAAGGAAGTAAACACTGTAACCAACAGGGCACTCTGTGTTCTGGGAAGTTTGTGTGCATTGGGCATCATATTTTTTCAAATAAAGCCAAGGTAACACTCATTTTACATACAGCACACAGTGGAAATGACATGAATATGGCAGTGGGCAAATGCATAAAGCGCAGCATAATTTGAAATCACGAGTTTAAAGTTCTCGATCACACGTCTCCAGTCAAGCTGAACCCTCCTCCTGTCCGCATTCAATTCACACGGACCGACCATCACGCAGAGAACACGCAATCATGCAGGTCACTTGCACATGATACTCATACAATACCAATACTAATACCATTATAACCTGACAAGTGCCATACCACTACATTTACACTAGTTCTGTCACTGATACTAGTACTACACGGATGGTAGTGCCATACCACTGTGTGGATGCTAGTACTACACCACCACTGTTAACAATTACAAGTACTTTACCTACACTAGTTAACATGCAAGTGCTACTAATACTAGTTCTGTAGCACTATACTGTTACTAGTTTACTGCCGTGTTGACACCATGCCACTATAACACACATTGCAACAGCAAAGACTTTAACAACATACACTCACTGACAACACTAACCAGAAACATCCCGCCTCTCAAGAGCTAATTTCAGCTCAGTCAGAACCACATCTGCATTCGTTATAAGCAGTTGAGGTCTGACACTTCTGACGGTTTCAATTTAAGGTAGTTTCCAAATCTGTTCTGACTCATTTGTCATTGCTCGCTCAATTGTCATTCATTCCTGTCTCCGCAGAAATAGCTCTGATGCCTGATCAGGTTACTGCAGCCCTAGACATTGTTAATACATTTGCTTATCTTGAGAACCGGCCTAGTTGCAGAAGTCGAGGGTGTAATGACAACCTGCAGTAGGCCACTGTGACCTTCAGGAACATGTGACAGCCTTCTCTGGTATCTGTGGCTTAGTAGTTGCAGTTAGTTGCCAGTTCTTTTTATCTCTTTATATCTCTTATCTGCCGTCATCCTTTTTTAGTTTGTTCTTACCTCATTACCATTTGAGGGATAAAGATCAAGCCATGTGGTTTTCAACTACACAACATTTGTGACAATATGCAGATGTTTGCCACTGTCCACTCAATCAGTGTTGAGGTTACTAAAAACAAGTTTGCCATCACTTATCAGAGTGTCCACTGGTCAAGGAAACGTCACTAATACAGAAGGTCTTATCGTTACCTTGCTTTCTTCTATTCCTTTCAACGTTTCCAGGCTTATGAACTATCCACATTAACGGGGACGCAAGTTTTGCTCCTGGTTGCCAGTGAGACGGGCCACGTCTACACATTCGCCACGCGGAAACTTCAGCCCATGATCACCAGTGAAACGGGTAAAGCCCTGATCCAGACCTGCCTAAATTCTCCTGATTCTCCACCCCGTACGGACCCTTCAACGGACCAGCGGATGAGTGCCACCGGATTCGAGGAGACTGACCTCACCTACCAGGTCTCAGAGGCTGATGGTCTCACAGAGCCAAAGGTACATACTTTCTGATACAAATTTTCAGTCAACTAGTCGATGACTAGATGGTCGTAAGTAAGCTCTGTATAATCCTGCTAGTTTAGGGTCATGTTGTTTACAAGACACAGACCAGATGTATTTCTTAAAGGTGTTCACTAAGGATGCATTTTTGTTTTTATGATAGCAAGAAAGGATGGAGATCTCAAAACATGTTAGGAAAATTATGTAGATAAAGCTAAAACCTGTTGGATACATGGATACAATTATGGGTACATCATTTAAAAAAGAAAAAGAACAAAAGGAAATCTAGATAAACTCGCTGCCTGACATTGGAGCAGTGAGTCCTGACATTAAAGTCGGCATGAAACGGAAGTTGCGATTGTCTTTTCTTCTCTACTGTGACGTATATCCGAGTGAAACGGCATCTGAAATGAGAGGGCGGGACTTGATTTCGTCCTTCGGGAATTGATTGGATCGTTGGAAGTTGGGGCGTTGCTAACAAAATGGAGGCAGAACTGAATGCCAGTTTGCAGTTAGTGGTGAGGGATTTCTCTCCACTGGATTCACAGCCGACACCCAAGCATGAATAAATGTTTTATTTATTAAGGATGACGACGACGATCAACGGCTTAGTATATCTATAGCTTAAGAGTCCCTCCATCAGGTTAAGTCATATTCATGAAAAAAAAATTAGTTTGTGATGTCCTAAGAGTAATGTTGTCATAATATCCTAATATCTTTTCAATGTTTAGGGGTAACGTACTCCCTCATGACTGGTGTCAGTGCTATAAAGTGAAGCATCAGCTTCAGCTTTTCCCCCTGTCGTTTATCCCAGCGTTTACCCCTCACGTCACTAGCTCCACCCTTGCGCCATAGCTCGTGACCGGAAGAGTAGAGGAGTTGTTTTGAGTGGGAGGGGAGGTTAACGTTTTTGATTAAAGATTATGAGGACACATGAATTTTAAAAAAATAATGAAGTGCACGGATAAATTATTTATAATAAAGCACTACAGTACAGGGCTCGACAGTGCGACCATTTCATTCGCATTTGCGACTGAAAACTACTGCGTGCGACTATGAAATTTATTTTAGGAGCACCAGTGCGACTGACCCGATCATCATCATACTTGTGATTGCGCTCAGGGAAGCTTCAAAGCTTTCTACGTGTTTTTGCAGCGTCGAGTAATGTATCAGACATATCTCACCAATATGGTGACTTTAATGTTGTTGGTTTGACTGGACTAGTCTCATTAGACCAGTGGTTCCCAACGCTGGTCCTGGAGGCACCCCAACACTGCACATTTTGCATGTCTCCTTTCTCTGACACACCAATTTCAGGTCTTGGAGTCTCTATTAATGAGCTGATGACCTGAATCAGGTGTGTTTGATTAAGGAGCCATGCAAAATGTGCAGTGTTGGGGTGCCTCCAGGACCAGGGTTGGGAACCACTGCATTAGACTATTTGGTTAATGAATTAGTTGAGTGTGCCAGATATTTTTTACATCTAAATATGAATCTTTATAGCACCATAGTCCATCATTTAAGTAGAAACTTACTCCCATTCCTGAGTTTCTTGACCTTTGCAGGTCTTGGTTTTCCAGACTACAATAGCGTGTTTTAACGTGGAAAGAAATCATGCACAGCTTTCACACAAAACCCCTTTTCGACTATCTGCATACATCCTGCAAATACCATTTTTGCCTACATTTAAGAATGTTTGCGTCACCCCAATCACGTCTTGCATGGCAGCATGTATTATTGTCCAGCTCTCATTGATAAGGATTAGATGCTGTCTGCATGTCCTTATATAGTCTGATTTTCCCAGTACACTTTCTTGGCTCATGGCTGATCACATTCCGTATAAGCTGCAGCTGTTTTCAAATTTGGATGACATATCCCCCCCCCTTTTCCCTACTGATTTAGGACAAGCAGTGAGTGAGCATGCAAAAATTAGAAACCCGAACCTCTGTTTAAGAAACTGCTTTAAAAAAAGCAGATCCTCATCTTGTTGAGCTGATGACTAGCTCATCATATAGTCCATGTTTTGAAAAGTCATCAATGGAATGGGGTACCTCCTTCCATGTTTGATGGCTGACAAATGCTCCAGGTCTTTATGACACAGATTGGTTTTTGGTTACAGATGCTAAATATTAGTGGTCGACTGATATTGGTCGATACACGATATTATCATGCGTGCATGGGTGGGTGGGTGTTGGCAAGAGAGAGACTCTCTGTACTTATCATAGGCTATTTCATAACTAGCCTATGTGGTGTTTTAAACCGCGCGGGTGTGCGAGAGAGAGCCTATGAAAGCACCAATAATTCGAAATATACTTTCAAACATACTGATAAACTAACATGTTAAATATAAAAAATATTTAAAACAGCCATTTCATATATATTCGGATACAACAGTTATACATCGCTATTAGGACCGCGCGTCCTGTGACAAGTTTGGCGCATCAGAGCACGGCAGTTATCGGTCTAAAAGGTCTGCAGTCAGTGGTGAAAATCAAAAGTAGATTTATTTTAAAGACCAACAGTTTAACACTAAGTATTGGACATAAACGAACACGTTAAATATAAACGTATTTAAAACAGGTAAGTTCATATATTCGGAATAAAGTTAAATTGAACGGATACATCAGTCATACAGCGCTCAGGACCGTGCGCCCCATGACGAGCCTGACGCACTGCCACAGAAACAAGGATGAGATGCGTTCTATTATAACTGTGGCGTTAAACTCAGTTAGTGAGGGCTCGGTTAAAATATTGCACATATATAAGCCGTTCAGATTACTTGTTAAAATGCAATGAAATACCTTATATCAGCAAACGATGTACGTTTGTGTTTGTGGTTGGAGACCCCTTCACCGGCTACAGGCTCTAATCCTCATTTGCGCAAATTATAATAGACTGCCTAATAATAATTTAATACATTTATAGGAGAATGAGCTTAATATTGTCTTGACTATCGATAAAGACATGTGCTATCATCAATATCTCTAACTATCGTCGATACACAATACTATAGTCTATCGGCACAACCCTATTGGGAATGACATTTTGTCAAATAAAGCCAAGGTAACACTCATTTTACACACAGTGAAAATGACATGACTATGACATTGGGCAAAAGCATGAAGCGCAGCATCATTTTAAATCACGAGTTTAAAGTCGGCATGAAATCAAAATGGACAATTCTTATTTTTGATAGAATACTGTAGTGTTTATTATAAATAATTTATCTGTGCACTTCATAATTTTTTTAAAAAATCCATGTGTCCTCGTAATCTTTAATCAAAAACGTTAACCTCCCCTCCCCCTCAAAACGACGACTCTACTCTTCCGGTCATGAGCTATGGACGCGCTCTGTCTCTTTCTCTCTCGCATGTTTTGGGCCGTTGATCGTCGTTGTCATCCTTAATAAATAAAACATTGATTCATGCTTGGGTGTCGGTGGTGAATCCAGTGGAGAGAAAACCCCCACCACTAACTCAGGGCTTAAAGTTCTCCGGCACTGTGCCGGATCTCCGGCATTTGGCTGCGGGAAAAAAAGATATTCGTCCTACATTTAAAAACACTTTATCACATCCGAGTTCATGAGTTTGCCTACCAATGTATGAGAGGAACACAGCTTTCATTCACTCTCAACCAAACTAACATTACTAGCCAATCAGAAGTTTTTGCTCTTATAAACACGAGATGAGCATAATTGTATCCAATTGCAGAGTCGCAGCTGATGAATGGAAAAGAAGCCTGGGTCACGAGCGCGACACATTGAAAAAGCTGCGAGGTGCAATGGTCAAAGATTTCCATCTAGCAGAGCTTTGTAAACAGCTCAGAGTAATCATGTCATCTCCATAAGAACGATATGATTGCCAGAATGCATTTACCTGTATTTTTGAAAAGGTCCTGTTCACACATGATCTCTTTACGGTAATTTACCAGTAAAGACTGTATGTGTGTAAGGGGCTAAACTCTTCCTCTGCATATGCGGTGAGTTTGGGTTGCTTAACATTCATCTGGGAAAACTAAATCATGTAACGAAAATCATTTAAACCTATGCGAACACAGGAGAATACATCAATATATTTCTAAATATACATTCAAAATAAAAGTTTCTGACTTTGCATGTGGCCAAATATTAAAATTAAATTGATAAATTGAAATACATGAAACATCACCAGGCCGTTGGTGCCTTCTGCAGGTATTTGTTATAATATGGGCATATTACATTATGTATTTAACAGTTGTTCAATAAAACCATGTACTTGGTTTTGATACTTTATTTGAGGCCAATTATTATTGCCTCATCGTTACTTTATATGTAAATATAGTCATATTAAAGCCTGTTTTTCACTTAGCTCTATTTGTATTACTACAAAACACTTGTCAAAATAATCAGTAGATTACTTGATTAGCAAAATAATCATTAGTTAAGCCCTAGATTAGTTAAAACATTTCAAAATACAACTGCATTGTTTTACTTTTTGTGATTTAAAAGACAAATATTTTGTCATTTGAAAATTTCTTAAAGTATTAAAACATTGTCTCATTCTAGTGAATCAAGTTTCTGCATTTTGTCTCACCTGTCACACCCCTAGTGCCTATGAGCGTGATAAAGCTCATACTTTTCCAAGTGTATGATATATAGCTTTATTCTTTAGGTCAATCATATATCAATAAAAAAATCTGTTTCAATAAGGAAAGCAATAACTTTGCCATAGTATCCTTTCAAATGTTAAAGTTGCCACAGTCAGTGCATTCTTTGCATCCTTGAAAACCAAAAAAGTAGTGAAAGTCCTGGAATTTTATTTTACAGTATCTGTACAAACTCTGTTTAAGTTACCAGTTCTTGGACCATTTTAATGTTTCTGTTGTTGTTAATTGAACTGAACTGTAGTTTTCTGTAGTAAACTGTCTTTGTATATTTCCTATTTTATATTCATTTCCTAGTATTTAATTTACCTTTATTTCTTTTGAACAAAACAATTTCAGAAATTTCATGTTTTAGA